CACAGTAGCCCAGCTCCAGGTTGAGCTGTTGTTCAGCATCTTAGCTGTGGAGGGCAGTGTCACTGGCCCTCATATGTGGGATCCGAACCGGGACCCTCTGGCGTCCCAAGCCAGCTCCCAACCATCGCGCCACTCGGCTGGCCCAGATTTTCACCTTTTTAAATAACTAAAAAGAAAGAAGATGAATACTATTTAATGACACTTAAAAATGATACGAAATTATAATTCAGTGTCCAAAAAGTTTTACTGGAACAGAGCCCCACTCATGCATTTGCGTATTATTTCCGACTGCTTTCATGCTATAGCAGCAGATCTGAATAATCATGACAGGGACCATATGGCCCCAAAAAGCCTAAAACATTTACTATTTGGCCCCATACAGAAGTTTGCCGACCCCTTGTCTAGATGCCACCAGTGAGTGACCTGATGTGTGGCAGGAAAGAGTGGGGTGGACAGCTCTTAGTCTACATGGACTAGCGTTATCTGTGACTCTGGAAGCATTTCCACAACAGCCATTTCCTAACTCTGTTTGGGGCTCCTTTAGAAATAAAGCCAGCATTCCCCTGCAGGACTCCCCAGCCAGCGCTGCTGCAGGGGATGCTCAGCAAAAAGCCTAAGTGCTGCTACTCTGAGTGCTTGTATTTCAGTGTTAGCAGTCTTGCCGTAGTTAATGTTACAACTTGACAAACCTGGATTTTGGTACTTTGCATTTCAGTACATTCCCCAGTGGGGAGACATTGCTGAGAGATGACCCTTTTGGGAGAACTGATCAGCCATTACCTCTTCTCCCTTTGAGTTTCCTTGTATCTGCACTGCCAATTACTCACCTGGTCTTAAGGGTGGAGATTGAGGGAGGCAAGGCATCTCCTTGATAGAAAAGGTCTATTAAGAAAAGGCATTTTTGTATTATAATTTACCATTGTAGAGGAGGAAAACTGTTCCCATCTTAGGTTGTCTGTCTGGGGCCCTATAAATTAGGCTAACGACAGATCAACAAGATAAAAACAAGTTTATTACCATGTACATGTAACACAGAGGAGTACAGTAGTCCCCGTTATTCACCTGTTTGCTCTCCATGGTTTCAGTTACTCGCTGTTAACCACGGCACAGAAATATTAAATGGAAAATTCCAGAAATAAAAAATTCATAAGTTTTAAATTGCATGCCGTTCTGAGTAGCATGATGAAATCTCACACAGTCCCACTCCATACCACCCAGGACATGAATCACCCCTTTGCCCAGGGTATCCACACTGTGTATAATACCCACCCGTTACTCACTTACCGTATTTGCCGGCGTATAAGACGATTTTTTGGCCCTGAAAAATATGCCTCCAAGTGGGGGGTCGTCTTATCGCCAGGTACACTTCAGATAGACTGCCCATAGTGCTTGCCCCGTGCCATAGTGGCCTCCCGATGCCCGCCCACTTCATTCCACATACCGTTCAGGCATCAGCAGCGCTGCTGGGTGTATGCTCGGCTGTTATGCGATTTTGCGAGTGTGGTAAATTCAGGTTACCGTATATTTCTTTACATATGCATTGAAGATTCGCGATTTTGGCTATCATGGTGCCTGTTAGAATGTTGAAGAGCTCGCACTTGCGCACTAGTGAGGTCCCAGGGAGATGCTGATGCAAGGGTGGACCAGACTGCTATAGTGACAGGGCGGGCAAACAGGGAGCAGGGACCAATCAAATCAGGCTTTGTATACAGCCAACAGCCAACCACAATACTGCACCATTGTACAGTACAGCATAGAAAATGTCGACCAGTCAAACCCCTATCATCCCTATCATGGCACCAGCCAAAAGAAAGAAGTATGATGCAAATTTTAAACTGAAAGTTATAAACTTTGCTAAGGAAAATAATAATTGTGCTGCTGCAAGACAATATGGAGTAACAGAAAAGATGGTTCGGGACTGGAAATCAAATGAGAAAGCATTAAAGAGTATGCCAGGGGGTAAGTGTGCATTAAGAAGAGACACCCCACACTGGCCAGAACTCGAAAAACATGTAGCAGACATGGTGGCTCAACATCGCCAAAACGGTTATGTGGTGACACGAAATACAATACGCTTGTTTGCACTTCAATGGGCCAAATCAAATCTGATATTGTTTTACCTTTTATTTGGTGTGTGGAAGGTGTGCGGAAGAGGGGGTAGTCTTATACGGCGAGTATATAACAAACTCTGTATTTTGAGTGGAAATGTTAGGGGTCGTCTTATACGCCCAGTCATCTTATACGCCGGCAAATACGGTAGTAGCCATTTTGGTGATCAGGTTAACTGTCATAGTATCGCAGTGATTGTCTCCAAGTAACCCTTATGGTAGCTTAATGTTATGTCACAATGCCTACGTCATTCACCTCGCTTCAACTCATCACGTAGACATTGTACCTTCTCATATCATCTCAAATAAGGTTAGCACAGTACAATAAGGTAATTTGAGAGACCACATTCACATAATTTTTATTACAGTGTATTGTTATAATTGTTCTATTTTATTATTAGTTATTAATCTCTTACTATGCCTAATTTATAAATTAAACTTTATCATAGATATTTATATATAGGAAGAAAAAGTATGGAAAAACTATCCATAGTTTCAGGCATCCACTGAGAGGGTCTTTGAATGTATCCCCCAAGGATAAGGGGGGACTGCTCTCCACAGAGATGAGTAACTGAAAGAGGTGGCTTAGAACTCCAGCTTATCTAGAATCTAAACCAAAGAACAATAAATTTTTAAAGGCATGACAAGACAAAACGAAAGGAGTGGCAAATATATGGGAAACCAATGGTAGATACAGGTTACTTAGCAAGTGTTTTATGTTGATTTCTCTGGTTCAGTCTCCAGGATGATAAAGAGCAAACGTGGTCTCTGATGATTAACTTTTGTCCCTCCTGATAGGCAGAGATGCCTTTGTACATTTATGTCCTGCAGATAGGGGGAGGCAGAGAGCTTTTCCTGCATATGCTTGCCTTTAGCTCAAAAGAATTCTTATATCAAAGAGGCATATTTTAGGATGACATATTATGATTTCCTTCACCATTTGATGCATGTGAACCGTAATGAGTACGTTGATTTTGATCCTTTTTGTCATTTTCAGTGACCACTACAGTGTATAGAGCAGGCACTAAAAAAGTCAGTTGTGTACTGTTAGGGCTCACAAGTAATCCATGATTAAAGTATGAGTACATGTAGGAACACCAGCCAGCAACAGTAATGATTAAATCAAGAACATTAAGTTTAGAGAAATATAATTTCTTTCTGCCATTTAGGTGGCACAAGTGGCTTTTTAAAATAAATTACTTCATTTGACATGCATTCACACTTTTGAGTACTCTCAAAAATTATTTTCATTATTGGATAAGAAAATTATTAAGTTGTTCATCTTCTAAAGTATTATTGTTTGTAAAAAGTGTAACTATTGAATGGTCATCTAGCAAAAACACCGAACACTAATGTGTACAAAGTGCACGACAATACAGTTACTGTGGAGAGTGACTTCAGGATTTTCTCAGGCCTTTCATAGGTGTCTGAAAGGCCTAGCGTGTTCCCTAAACACCCACTGTTAACAGCTGTTTACAATATACTTAAAAGCAGATTCCAACGTTGAAAAGAGGTAAGTCAGTTTGTGAGGAGCAGAGATTAAATATAGTAACAGGAAGAAGCAGCATGTAGATTCATAAAAAGGCACTGATATAGTAGAAAGAAGGCAGACTTTGGAGCCAGCCATTTCTGGGTTTGTTACCCCACCTTGTTATTGTGGGTCAGGTGAATCCCCTAACCCCTTAGAGGTTCAAGTTTTTATTTGTAAAATTAGAGTACTGTCTACCTTAACACATTGTAAGGATTAGTGATAAGTAAAGCAACTAGCATTTAATTAGTATTGTTAATTTCAGCACTGTTGCTCAGCCCGGTATATTTCCTGACAATTCCTTCCAAAATGTTTATTAGTGGATTCAAGCTCAAACCAAGTTGAAGATTCTGACAACACTCTGCTGATTGAATCAGAGGTGATAGATATAACTAAATGTAGAGAAGAAACTCCACCAGAGGGCAGATATAACCAAGCAACCACATCGGATAATCAGAATGTTATGGAGTTTGAAGTTCAAATACTCAAACCCCAAGAGGAAAAATCTCCAGCATTTCAAAACCAGCAGGTCTTTTGTGATAAACAGTTGCCAAAGGAAACCAAGGATACTTCACCTGATTCTCTAAAGAAGTTCAGTAAAGGAAATGTGTTTTTATTGGATGCCACAAAAGAAGGAAATGTGGGCCGCTTCCTTAATGTGAGTATGGGCTGAGATTCACATTTCTATATAACTTCATTTCTGTGCTTCTTAACAAAATCATGAAGAAAATGTGATTAACAGATTCTAAAGCCAGACTACCTGGATTAGAATGCCAGGTTCCCGCGGTATGACCTTGGGCATGTTACTTGACCTCTTATGCCTCATTTTTCACCTCTATAATATGGGGATAATAATAACTGACTCATAGGATTAAATGAATTATATATACCGAATAAAGTGCTGAACTAGTACCTAGCACATAGTAAACATTTGCTTAAGAAAATGATAAGAAATGGCATGTAAGAAAATCATTTATGTTTTTATTGAAAGATTTTGAAGATTTATTATTTCCAAAAAATCACAGCGGGATACATAGAATAAGTTTCTCTTTTGAGTCTTATATAATCGGTCTTATTCAGAAATGCCTCTAATGGTTCAAAAAAATCAATTGGAGGTATTTATGTTTTACTTACACTCGGTAAGTTTTAAATGATTTAGTGGGTTAGTGTAGAAAACCAGTATATTTATCAGAATGTTGCATTTAACTGTTCTATTCCTTTTTTATTCCCAAACCATAATCATTTTCTATTTGTGTGTATGTTTGGGATATATGTGATGAGATTTATTTTCATTTATATACAGAAATATTTATGATTCCTCTGATTTTAAAGTTAATTGACACTGAAGTCTCCTGTCATCTTCATGATAAGTGGAATAATTTGTATTATTGGTCATATCTTCTGTGTAAGGTGGAATTGGAGTTACCTTGTGGCTTTCCTATTAGATTTCATCCTATCCTGCCTCCTGTCATGCATGGTTATTTTCACAATGTATAGCCCCAGGAACCCTACAGGGGAGAAAAAATCCCCGCCAACCTCAGCCCCAGTGTCTATATAGGTTCTCCTGTCTTTGGCGAACTGGACCATGTGGAAGCCCTGAACCACCCGATGGAGAGCTGAGCTGGGCCCTGCTGCGTGACTCCCTGATCGCTGGGCTCCCCTGTGTCCTTGCTTATCATATCCAGGAGAATGAAGAGAAGCCATGGAAGGAGGACAAGACACTAACCCCCTCCCTCCACAGAGCCTTTGGAAAGGTCCACTCTAGCACACTGCCGCCTGGATATGGTCTTCATTGTTCTCTTTGATCTGTATCAGAGCTCTTTTTCCTTCCTTTGGGTGAATAGTAGTACAATGGGCAGCCTTGACTTTGCTCTTAAAATGAAGGTGAAGGAAGGGCAGCATGCATGGCCCATGATTCTTACAGGCGTTCCCTTTGACACCTTTAAGATAAGCTCAATGCCTCTTTAAAATGTGACAGTTGAATGGTTTGAAATTTATGTGCAGTGATAATTTACATGTAATTGAGCTGCCACCAGAAGAGAAAATAAGAATTCTTAAGACAGAAAATCTTCTAAAACCAAAGAGTTTTTTCCTTGCTAGGTGAATCTGCTAATTTAGCTTGTTTTTCTCTCTCCTAGTTAGGAGAATACTTGGTTAACAGGGAATAGAATTCTCTCTTCCCTTCCTCTGTCCCTCAACTGCTGTTCTCTATTCCACTTTGACTTCAACACTATTGCCAAACATGTCAGCAGATCCATTAAAGAAGGATCCCTAGCAAAGGACTGTCATGGCTTTCTTTCCCATCAGCTACATTGAATGGTGGCTGCACCAGAATGATTGGGTTGGTTTCACCTGTTCCACTCAGCGCATCAGCCAGCTCCCTCCCTTGTTTATAGGAGAAAAACCAGGTTATCTTCCCCTCCCTCCTTCCTTGCCTCCCTTCCTCCCTTCTTTCTTTTCTTTCTTTTATTATTTTTTCTTTCTCTTTTTTAGTTTAATTTTCTACATAAATAATACATGTACATGATTTAAAAATTGAAATAAAGTAAAAAGCCGTACATAATACATACATACATACATACATACATACAGCTAAACAGAATTCTGTTTCAAGGTAGCTCTGAGCCTGCCAAGTAGGCACCATAGGGAAAGCCCATCAGCCCAAATTTTAATATGTATGGACAGGAAGTTATCATTGAAATTAAATGGTGGCAGACATGTCCAAGGACTATTATGAGAATTTGATTCTTTTATGAACCTGGTGATAGATGAATGTGTAGAGATGGCAGCTAGTGGCCAACAGAACAATATTAGAATGGTGATAATAGAAGGAAATAATATAATGTTTAGAAGCCTTGGAACAAGGATAAATAATGGTTGTGCTCAGCAGAAAAGAAATTGCTTATACGTGTCCCCTTTCCAAAGGGCCTGTTTAACTATGATGTAAAACTCAGGTTGTATACAGTCTTCATATTAAACTTTTTTGTTTTGTTAAAAAAAGAAACACCTTGAGAAGTACTCTGCCCCCATTTACCCTGCCCCCACTCCACCTTCTCTAGTAAAATTGTTTTTATTATAGTGTTTCTTTACTCAAATAGAAGTGTATCAATATGTGTTCTTATATCTCCCCTTTTCTAACATAAAAGATAGCATATTGTGTTCACTGTCCTATACCATATTTTTTAAACTAACAATATACCCTGGAGATCTTTCCAAATCAGTACACAGTGAGAGCTCCTCATTCTTTTGTTTGTTTTTGTTTATAGCTGCACTGAATTCCATTGTGTGGATATAGCAGAGTTTATTTAACCAGTTTTCTTTAGATAGGCATTTAGGTTGTTTCCAAACTTTTCCTGTTAAAAACTGCTCATTGAAGAATCTTACACATAGATACACATGCCCATGTATCTGTAGCACACATTCTCAGCTATGGGATTGCTGAATCAAAGGATAAGTGCATTTATAATAATGGTTAATATTGACAAATTATCTTGGGTAGGGGTTTATGCCATTTTGCATTTCTACCAGGAAGATATAAGAGTGTCAGAACAGGCTTTTCTGAATGGGTTCCCACTACTAACAGGATTGTAGTGAGCTATGATATTTTACATATTAGTTAACAAAAAAAGGAAAGAAACAAAAATAAGTGTGCTGTGGTAGAAACAGAATGGTAGTTAATGCTTCAGAGAACAAGTCATCAAACTTTATGCTATATCTAACCTGTTTTAATTTTGTTTTTTGTTTTTTGTGTGTTTTTTTTGTAACAGCATAGTTGTTGCCCAAATCTTTGGGTACAGAATGTTTTTGTAGAAACACATGACAGGAATTTTCCATTGGTGGCATTCTTCACCAACAGGTTTGAAATTTTTTTATATGATTTAATTTGGAAATTGTGACTTTAAAAATAACAATAGAAGAAACTAGATAGAGGGACAGGAATGGGAGGAAAAAAAGAAAAACATAAAAAGATATATGCTATATATAGCCCCTAATATCTGGTACCCTAGAATATTCAGTTCTCCCAAACTGTTCCTAATCAACATAATTTTAAACAGAAATTTTAATTCTTATTTCCTCTTAGAATTAATGCCTTAAAAGGGCTAAGGATGGCAGGTCTCACCCAGTTCAATTCAGGAGATAACACACTGCAGGCCTTATCACATCACCGGGTTCTACTGTGTGCAAAACACACTTCCTTCCTCATGGATATTGACAGATTTCTTCTTACTTAGGATTTTAGTACATTTGAAATAAAACTCAAATGACTGTTCTTCATAAAAGAGCATTCCTAATTGGTGGGTGCCAGGGAGAATAAACCCCGTTTTTAGGATGATTAATGTTAATATGAAAATTGATATAATCAAGTTTGGTTCATTTGGTAGCTATTCAAGGTAATTTATGACTATTTTTTAATTTCTACTTTCTAGGTATGTGAGAGCAAGAACAGAACTAACGTGGGATTATGGTTACGAAGCTGGGACTGTGCCCGAGAAAGAAATTCTCTGCCAGTGTGGCGTTAATAAGTGTAGAAAAAAAATATTATAAATCCGTAGCAAATGCCTGTTCGTGAAATGAGCTGATCAAGCTGAAATTAGAGCCGTGCAAAAGAGCCCTCCATCATCTGGTGGAATTACTTTCGGTTGTGAACCATCAAGAGAATTCCTCTGTTTACCTTTGTGGGGACAAGGGGTTCATTTGTGTGACTTAGAAATGCTAGGAACAAAATAAGGACATTTTCATATGCGTAGGTTACCTCTTTATGCTATTCAACTTGACATAAGTAGGATGGAAGTGTATATTTTATATGAAATGCTACTATACAATTTGTAACTTATTTGTAAATTATATACTAAGAGAAACATGTCACAATAGAATTCGGCTGTTCTTATTGTTTTTGTGATTATTATCTTTGAGTTCATGCTCCCAACGGGCCTAATTTTACATTTTTACCTGCAAAATTTACTTATGTTTAATTCCTGGCCAGTCATTTACCATTATGAGCCTGAAGGTGGGCAAAACAGCCTGAAGAATACAGCTCCAAGAAGCACTGTCCCATCAAGCCATTTGAGTGAGAAAGGGGGAGAACCTCTCCTATGGGGAAGGTTTTGGCAGTGAAACTTTGTTTCCACCAATTCCCTTTATTTCTTCAATACAAACACAGACCAGAAAAGAGGGAATAGAAACCTGGAGGAGTTGGAAGACTTTTGTTCTAATAGAGTGGAGCCATAAGAAAAGGAAACCTGGAAAGCAGGCCGACTTGGCTTATTCAGGCCAGAAGAGATTGTGTTGGGCAAGAATTTAATTTAAAAAACAAAACTGAGCTGCAAAGTCTGAAACAGCCCCTTGGATTCTCCTGGGCATGATGTGCAAATTGTTTTTTCTAGAGAAAAAGGGAATTAACTTTGATATGGGTTACCTAGCCCTGATCATCTATCTAGGAAAGGGGGGTAGGAATCTCCAAGAGTGAAAACTAATTTTATCCTTAACAAAGGTGTACATTTGGCTGCCAAGGGGGAGCCCTTGGACCCAGGATGGGAATACTAGCTCAAAAAGGACTAATTAAAAAGTTTGGTTCTTGAGAGATTTTTTTTTTCTTTTTTCTGAACTTGATTCTGGGTTTAGTGTGGTTACCTTTCAAACAAAAATGTATTCTAAGTTTAGACCCAATTTAATTTCTTAAAAATATTGAACTAGATGAAAATTCAACTTGAAATTGTTTTACAGAGTGGAAAACCACAGAACTAGGAAAAGGAACAAAAAATTACAACGCAACAGCCTATAGACAGAAGAAAATTGAGAAGTCTATTTATTCACAGTAAAGATGCAGGAACTGTAGACAGTACACTAAAATAAAGTGACAACACTTGATCAATATGGGAAATATTTTTGTGTTGAAATCCTGACATCTTGATCTACTTCAATCTGTACTGCTTCACAGCTATTATCTTCCATCAGTGTCCTAGAGATTGTCTTTGTCTCTTATGTCAGATCTGTTTCCAGTTAAGTCTCATTATTTCTGTTTTCTTTGGTTTACTTCCACATACTGGTGAAGCATATCCTCACAAAAAGCTTTTGAAAAGGAAAAGTGAGGTAAATATTTTGAGACTTTGCATGTTTGAAAATGTTATTGTACCCTTACACTTGATTACTACTTCGGCAGGGTATAGAATTCTTGAGTAGCCTCCATGGCCAGTTTTGAAGGCATTAAGCTTCCAGTGTTGCTGTTGGGAAGTCTGAAATATGTTCTCGCTTATAATTTCCAGGCTGACTGTTGGAAGTCAGGTGCCATTCTGTTCTTTTTGTGTATATGAACTAATTTGTATCTCTCATGAAGCTTATAGCATTGCTTTGTCCCAATGTTCTGTTCCTGGTAAGGGCCCATTTTCATCCCTTGTACCAGGTGCTTGGTGGGATTTTTCAGTTTGAAAACTTTGTGCTTTAGTTCAGGGAAGTTTTTTGAACTGTTTCTCTAATGATTCCTCATCTGTTCTCTTTCTAGAATTTCTGTTATCCAAATATTGGGCTCTCCAGGATTGGTTCTCTAATTTTATTACTTTTTCTCATAATTTTCCGCTCTGTCTAATTGCTGTACTTTCTGGGAGATTTCCTCAACTTAATTTTCCAATTTGTCTAATGAGTTTTATTTTTCTGGTCTCAGATTTTAAATTTCTAGAGTTCTCTTCTCTGAATGTTCTCTAAAAGCATCCTGGTTTTGGTTCATGATTGTATCTTAGATCTTTGAAAATACTGTTTGTGTGCTTACACATACATACATATATTCATATATATTTTCTTCTTCACATAGTCTGTGACCTCAGAGTTTCAGTTCTTTGTTTTTCCTGTATGTTTCCTTTGGTCATTGTTTTCATGTTATATAGGCTTTCCTCAGTTAGTGATCTTGGTGTTTTACTCTTAAGAGTGGAACATTAAAAAGCTAAAATTATAAACTGAAAGCGGGGGAAGGGGTTATTGAACTGCTTCATTATGACCTAACTGAGCTGTTCAGTCTCTAATTCAGTCTCTTTAGACTTTCTTTTTGGCCTGGCAAAGAATACAGGCACACCTCTGAGATATTACAGTTCAGTTCCAGATCACTGTAATGAAGCGAGACTCACAGTAAAGCAAGTTGTAATGTTTTTGCTGGTGGAGGGTCTTGCCTTCAATTTGTAAAAAATGTAACACCTGTTAAGTGCAATAAATAAAGCCAAGCGCAGTGAAATGAGGCACGCCTGTAGTCGCCCATTCACCTGCTTGAATTCAGAAAACTTGGCTGTAAGTCTGCTCTTTTCTCTCGTTTGCAGCCCTACACTCTTGCTTCTGTGATCCATTTATTTGTCAAGACTATCCAAGTTACCTTTTTAATATAGTTTCTCTTTTCTGCTGTTTCCAAGTTGCCTCCTTTCCTCTCTTTAAAACGTGTTTAAATTGCAAGACCTCCAGTTTTCCTTTAATTCCTCAGCAAACCACCAATTATATGGTTCTTTTCCAAAACAACTTACTTTTTAACTGTAATTTCATGCATTTTTATGTTCTCTACATATTTGTTAACATGCACTGAAAACCTCTCGTATGGTGCTTTGTACCTCATGGGTGCCAAATAAAGGCATGTGACTGGCAACTGGAATTACGATCCGTTAATTCTGCGTCCATTCTTACACCTTTCTGGCCAAACTCGGTGAGATACAGTTTTTAGAAGACACGGGTAACCCCTCAGGAGAGCAGTCGTTTCTCCAGCTGAGTCCAGGGGCTTTGGCCACCCACCTTTCCTCCAGCCATCGTCGAGGAAAGGGCGGGGGCATGTTGAGGAGCACGTAGGTGTTTTTAAAACAATACAGTTCCATTTCAGACTCGGATCCAGAAAAGAAAGATGCGAGCTCCTGTCTGGATGAGAACCTCATCTGTCGCATTTCTTCTCGCTCGGGACTTTTTCCTGGGCAGGGGAAATCAGTCATCACAGATTTTACGAAAACGAAAGGCAACTGCTGAACTTCCGGAAGCGCTGGCGCAACGCTCAGCGGTCGGGCGGCAGCGGAGAGCACAGCCATGGACCCTTCGTCGCGGCCTTTGTCCAAGTCGGCCGGCAACGCCAAGTTCTCCGAGACCTCGGACGCGTTCCTCCACCCCACCGGTGAGCAGCACGCGGGGTGACAGAGGTTGGGGGTGGGGTGCGGCCGAGCGGGATCCCGCAAAGACAGGTCTGGCCCAGGGCCTGCTCACACTGATCGCGGCCGTTCGGGGACCCGGCACCCGCCTCCGGAGCCGCAGAGGCAGCGCGGATGAACTTGACTCCGCAGCGGTTGGCCCCTCTGTGTTCATCCCGCAGTGGCCCTGGTGGCAATTGTGCAGTGGCGGGTATGACTTCCATTTACCTCTCCCACTGCTGATAGGACAGCCCATTGCTACGGTTCTACTCCATTAGGAATGCGGGCATCAAGAAAACCCCGCTTAAGGGCTGGCTGAGTGGCTCAGTTGGTTAAGAGCTCGCTCAAGAGTTTGAGCTCTGAATAACAGTGGTTTGAGTCAGCCCGAGCTGAGCAGCCGCGGAGCTGCCAACAGGTGGCGGGATGGCTCAGCTAAAAAAAAAAAAAAAGAAAGAAAGAAAACCCCGGGTAAACTCCGGTGGGTTTTCTCACCAAGCATAGCTCCACCTAACTGTAAAACAATGCAGTCGGAGAAGTGCCGGGGAGAAAAGTAGGCATTTCACCACCCTTCTTGAAGAGAAGTGGGCAGCTGGATCTCAGGAAGCAGTTTGGAAAGTTTCCCCAGAAAATGTGATGTTTTTTGGAACCATTCCCTCCTCTCCATTTAGTAGTTCAAGCTCTGCCCTCTCCATGAGTAAGGCAAAGTAATGACAGTCAAGTCTTCTGACAGGGCTCCTTCCCTTCACTTCAGTTACTACCGTGTGCCAGGCTCAGGGCTAGGTACTAGCAATAGGAAGATGAGGTAGGCAGACCTCGCCCTAGAGAATCTAGTAGGCAGCTCGCATAGGACCTGGTAAGAACAACAGAGGCACAATAAGGGGCTCCTAACTAAGCCAGGTGTTCACAGAAAACTTTTTGGAGGTGAGGATGTTGGATCTTAGTTTTGAAGGGCAAGTCAACCAAAGGTAGAAAAGTTGAAAGGGTGCTCCAGACAGAGGTAATGACATACGAATAAAGGCCCCCACCACAAAACATCATAGGTGGCAACCACAAGCCAAACAGTTAAATATTTCAGCTAATATATATATATATATATATATATATATATATATATATATATATATGGCATGCAAGATGAGGAGTTTGGAGATGAGGTTCCATTCTGACCTTTTCACCAAACTCCAGACTCAGAAACAACTTTATCAATGCCCGGAATGAACTCTAACTGAATATGTCTCAAAGAACTCTTGTTTCCACACACACCCGCGTATGCAAATCGGCTCAACCACCAGCCTTCCCGGTTCCATTCACCCAGTTGCTCAGGCCAAAACCCTGAACATTGTTAGTGCCACTCTTTCCTCCTCACCTCCATCTAATGCAAGACAGACCAGTCAGTCCTGTCTTCAGAGTATATCCTGACTGCTTCTCACCGCCTGCATTACCACCTTCATCACTACCTTCCAAGGCCAGGCCACCATCATCTCCTGCCTGGATTATTGGTCTCCTGGCTTCTACCCTAGCCTCTCATATAGATAGGACTGCACAGCAGCCAAAATGATGTTTTGTTTTGTTTTTGTTTTTTAAAAAGCAAATGTGATTCTCCTACTTAAAGCCCTCCAACAGTCTCTCATTACTTTCAGAATAATCTCTCACTCTGGCTTACAGTGCACCCCCTGCCCATGTGATAACTCGGCCACACTCACTGCCTTGATGACTCTAAGCCCCGAAACCTGTCCCTGCCTCAGGGTCTTTCCATTTGCAACACATTTCTCACTTCCCCAACATGTTCAAGTCTCTGCTCAAACGTATCCGCCACAGCCCTGCTAGTCCATTCTCTGTAAAAGAGCACCATCCCCACAGCCCTCATGACTATACCTCCTTTCTGTGCTCTGTTTTTTCAAAGCACTTATCACCTACCTGAAAAAAATACTTGTCTCTACTACTAGAATATAAGTTTCATGAGAGTTGAAACTCTTATTCTCTGCTTTGTTTCTAGTGCCTAGAACACTAGTACATAGTAAGTGTTTGTTGAAGGAAGGAAGGTTTGTATGTATCACTGAGGAGCTTGGCTTCTATTCTGTAGGCAATGGAGAAGAGTCTTTGTCGCAGGAGAGAAATGTGGACAGAGATACATTTTGGATAGATCACTCTGGCAGCAGCCTGAGAAATGGAGTGGAGTCATGAGAGGGAAAGTGAAAGCAGGGAGATGAGATTGTTGGACCAGGTGAGGGGCAGTGAGGGCAGGGCAGTCCACCTTTCACACTGCTGCTCCTCCTCTTAAACACATAACATACATACACCTGTGCCTGTACACAGAGAAGTCAGGGCATGGGACTTCTGGTGTTAAATAGGACCTATTGGCTGCAAATAGCACAAAAACAATTTGATCTAATTTAAGCAAAAGGGATGCTTGTTACTGGGAAGCAGGGAGACCAGACTCACAGGCTCCAGGAGCATAGATGCCGTAGCATTTTCCAGAAAGGGCCAGGAATTAGCACCTGAGAAACCATCATAAACTTTTACAGCACTCCCCTCTGTCTCATTTCTGCATCTCTCATCATATCTGCTTTGTTCTTCTCTTTCTTTGGTCCAGTTTTCCTGATAATGGGATAGAAGATGGCTACCTTCACAGCCTCCCAGTGTTTACATCTCCTTCAAGAAACCAGCCCAATCTGAACTAAAATTACGAATTCTGTATGTCTGGGAGATGGGCAGGTAGGTCCTCTGGGACTGTCAGCTGGACCTAGGGAAGTAGAGTCACAGTACAAACATGACTGCTGGGGGTCATCCCTGCATGTGACTGTGAGCTAGACAGATACCTAAAGCAGGTCACTGAACATCCTATTCCTTGGCTGCTCCCTGCCCCTCTGACACAACACACGCATGCTTATTCCTGTTCGTACATCCTAAAGCTGTCCCCAGCAGTGCTCTCTGGCTATCCCAAATACACATTCAGTCATGCTTAACTTCTCCCAAAGTTATAACCAGTCACGTCATCCAGAGACAATGTGATAGAACCATTCATTTTCTAAGTCCGTTACTAAGTTCATTACCAAGCCTCTAGGTAGTGTCTCCTCTTCTGTTTTGGTCTTCATCCAATTCAGGTATTCTGTCACTGGACTCCGAGATAAAGCTGACTTTTCCTTCACATCTGATATGTAATGAAAGAACTAAAATAGTAAACTGTAATGAAAAGGAGGAAAGCAGAAGAAACTTCCAAGCCAGCACCATAAATCAGTTGCCAGTCCAGAACATACAGAGCCGCACTGGAAAAGGGCTGTAAATGGAATTACAGGATTAGTGAATCTTAGTCCGTCGGTTTCATTCATTTCTCTAGTGGCGGAGTATGTTCTTTGGCCATCCTGTCTGGCTACCCAAGATTCGGTCCTCATGATGGGTTGCCCTTGTCTAATGGCCTTTGGGCCATCTCTGGGAAGAGAAGCATTGGGAAGACACCCATGACATTGCAAAGGCTGTGACCTTAGCATTCCCTTCTCAGATGGAGCTGGGCCAGGAGATTGCCTAAGAGACCTGGCTGTGTTGATTTGAGTTAGTCATAGTTCACGTGTTCCTGGCTGGCGATTTTTCTGCGGCTTTATTCTATAGAACCTTTGCTGGCTCACAGTTTCATTTTTGAGAATTCTTGTCAGGTTACTGTCTGTGAGTCCTCAGCACCCGGTAAAAGGATGCTGGGAAGCCCTGCTGATCTTCATTGTTCTTAGTTAGTCTCAGTTACTGATGGAGACCAAGAGACTCTTCCCTAAAATGTCCTAGCCCCCATGATACACCTATCCCTTAGTGTCTGAGTCTGTATAGTTCCTGAGTTCAAATGGTGGGGATATCAAGTTATCCAAGTGTATTTGATCCATGATTTTCAGATGAAAGGTAGCAAGCATTCAGGTAGTGAGGGATGCTGTGTGTAAAAGTCTCTAATGTGATACCCCCAGCTACAAAGAGTTATGTGCATCTTCCAGTCTAGAAGAATAAACAAGTTAGAAGAGCCAAGCTCTTTTAAGAAACTGTGATGAGGGGGTGTTTTAGCAGGAAAAAGCCATTAGGGGAATCCTGTGTGTCCCACCTTGGGTTTCTGTCCATTGGCACTGGAAACAAGTCTCGGTTTCAGCCCAGCAATGCTGCCACCACCACTGTATTCTTAGGTACCAAGACCGGAGGAGCCTGTGGACTTGGTTCAGATGGGCACAGAGTCCCCAGAGCAATCACAGGGGGCGAAGTCAGGGGTCAGCGGCCTGACAGCTCAGCCTGATGCAGCACCTCGCTGAAGGTCCTGCTTTGCACAGTAAAGGGTAACACTGGGATAACGGCTAGCTCTTGTACAGCAGGGGGCGCTGCATATCCTATCAAACATTATTGTAGTATTTTATTAGGGAATATTAGCACTAGTAATTTAACTGACACTTTTTTTAAGCCTATGCGTTCTTTACAAATTTTAATGTCTAGTAAGAGTGTTTTTAAAATAAGAACACAATAGTCTATCAAAGTAGACTTTGGGACTGAGGTGAATAAAATATTGGGATTTCCCCCCCCCCATTTTTATCCTAGGATAGGGGCTTTGTGTTGTCAGATATTAAAATATATTCTGAATTGTTGAAAATTGTAAAGTGTGGTATTGGTGGAGGAAGTGACAGGTCAATGGAACAAAACAGAAGTCTAGGAACAAGCCCAAATGTATGTAATAATTAAATAGATGACAAGGAGATTGTTACATTAGTGGCTAACCATTATGAAAATGTTAGGTCTCCATCTCATTCTTAACAACAAAATTAATTTCATATTAATATTTTAATGTAAAACATAAATTAAAATTTTAGAATAAAATAGAGGTGTTTTCTAAGTGATGTCCCCCTCTCTCAAGAGTAGAAACTATAAAATAAAAGATTGCTATAATTTCATCTATTAAAATACATTTAAGCATTCTGTATTGATTATCAAAGAATATTATAAACAGGGGCCGGCCGAGTGGCTCAGT